ACTCTTTACTGCTCCAAATTACAAACAGATGACCTATTCTCAGGTATTCCATCTAAACCATCTGCTGATTCCTGCTTGATGATTTTAAACCCATCCTTCTTAGGGCAAATGACACCTGAGATGTGGGCAGGCCTTAGACATGGCAAGTCTACCTCTGACACTACTGACTCTCTTGATCATCTGGGGAAGAACTCTGTTCAGTATAATCTAAGAGTTATGACCATCTAAGTTATGACCATCTTTGACACAGAAAAACAGAAAGGCAACCATTATGTTAGAGGCTGACAATATGGTTCATGACCATCAACTAGAAGGGGCCCTAAGAGAAAATGGCTCAAATCAAGCATTTTCGTTCAAAGTCATGATGTGTAACTGACTCATGGAAAACAACTTTACACACATCACCTCACTCAGCAAGGGGCACAAGTGGGAAATCATTTGCCTTGGTGGGGGGTATATGAGGAAGTTAATTTGCTCAAAGTTCAATTACCTAACGGGTACTTGAGTAATAATTCTGATGGACAATGGGAGCATTGTGTGGCATATGCCTTAACTTTTCTGTAAGGTGCAGCCTGCCCTGTGATGTAGAACTTTGGGGCCCTAATTGCACCACTGTCTCTGTGCTGCAGCAGACTCCAAATCCTTGTAAAGAGCATCTTGGTCCTCCCTGTGGTTATCTCCTGCCCACCTGTGGAAGAGTGGAGTGGCCATGTATGCAGGCACACACCCAGAGCAAGCTGCCCAACCTCTGTGAGAGAATGTTCCAGAAGAAAGTGGTTTTTGGTTTTTGTTAGTTTTTTGAGACAAGGTCTCACTCTATCGCCCACGCTGGAGTGCAGGGGCATGATCATGACTCTCTGCAGCCTCAAACTCCCGGGCTCAAGCAATCCTCCCGCCTAAGCCTGTAGAGTAGCTGGGACTACAGGGCACACCACCGCGCCTGGCTAACTTTTGGACTTTTAGTAGAGACAGGATTTCGTCATTTTGGCCAGGCTGGTCTCAAACTCCCAAGCTCAAGTGATCTGCCTGCCTCAGCCTCCCAAAGTGCTGGGATTACAGACATGAGCCACTGCGCCTGGCAAAATGTTAACCTAACCTCCCTAATAAGCGCAAGTTCCAGAAGAGAATGTCAATCTACCTCAGCTCAGTGCTGAAGCCCACAGCTCTGCAATTAACTGGCCACACACAGGGGGCTCCTCCTCCATCCAACCCAAGGGGAGCACAAGCAAACCAGCTGAGGGACAATGTCTGCTGAGGCCCACTTGCAAGAGTGGCCCCTGCTGTCTACCTGGCTCTCGCGTGGGAAAGGGCAGGACAGCTGAAGGCTAGATCTTACCTGGAAAACAAGCAGGCGCTAAGTTTGAATCTTGAAACTTCCTAGCTTTCAGCCACTTCCTTAGCTCTATAAATTCAGACTTGTGGCTCTCATTCACTATCAGGCAAGGAGAGAACAAATGGTGATTAAAACCACTATATAATCAGATTACCATTTTTAAAAGAACATGTCTGATGAAATGTGTCAGAGAGACTTGCACAATAGTGAGAACTGGTGTATCTAAACATAGAAAAGGTACAATAAAAACACAGTATTGGCCAGGCACAGTGGCTCACATCTGTATTCCCAGCATTTGGGAGACCAAGGCGGGAGGGTTGCTTGAGGCCAGGAGTTTGAGACCAGCCTGGCCAACATAGAAAGACCCCACCTCTTAAGAAAAAAAAAAAATACGGTATTGTAATCTAATAGGACCACCACTGTACATGTGATCCATCAACCAAAACATCCTTATGCAACATATGACTATATTCATTCAATGTAATCCTAATCAAAATTCAAGCAGGCTTTCGTACAGGAATTAACAAGCTGATCCCAAAACTCATATGGAAATGCAAAAAGCCTCGAATAGCCACGATGTCTTTGAAAGATTGATTTTAAAACTTATTCTAAATCTACAGTAATCAAATTACTGTGATATTGTCAAGACAGACAAATAGGTCAATGGAACAGGACAGAAAATTGGAAGAGGCCCATATGTAAATGAACAACTGATTTCTGACAAAGTGTGAAGGCAAATCAGTGGAAAAAGGTAGTCTTTTCAATAAATGATGATCCAACAACTGGATCTCCGTAAGAGAAAAAACAAGTGAACTTATCCATATCTTGTACCATATTCAGTTGGATTTACATAGGACTTTCCAGATGGCCACTTTTGTATTGAACAAGATACAGTATCTTCTTCAGACAGGGTTACCCCGAATTTGAAGTGATAAATTTACATCCAAACACTGATATCCTACAGGTGGCTGAAGGTCAAGACCAGAAAAAGAAACTTGGGAGTCACCCCCAGAGAAGACAGTTGAAACAATGAGTTAGATATCTTCACATTCCCACCAGGATCTAAAAGAATACAATGGCACCATTAAAAAGAGTGTTATAGGCCGGGCGCGGTGGCTCAAGCCTGTAATCCCAGCACTTTGGGAGGCCGAGGCGGGTGGATCACGAGGTCAGGAGATCGAGACCATCCTGGCGAACACGGTGAAACCCCGTCTCTACTAAAAAAATACAAAAAACTAGCCGGGTGAGTTGGCGGGCGCCTGTAATCCCAGTTACTCGGGAGGCTGAGGCAGGAGAATGGCGTAAACCCGGGAGGCGGAACTTGCAGTGAGCTGAGATCCGGCCACTGCACTCCAGCCTGGGCAACAGCGCGAGACTCCGTCTCAAAAAAAAAAAAAAAAAAAAAGAGTGTTATTTAAGAAATATTCTCTTTGGGTTGGGCACAGTGACTCATGCCTGTAATCCCAGTGCTTTGGGAGGCCGAGGCAGGAGGACCACTTGAGCCCAGGAGTTCAAGACTGGCCTGGGCAACATAGTGAGACCCTGTTGCTAAAACTAATTTAAAAAAACATTAGCCGGATGGAGTGGCATGTACCTGTAGTCCGAGGTACTTGGGAGGCTGAGGCAGGAGGGAGGCTAAGGCAGGAGATCACTTGAGCCTGGCAGTTCAAGGCTGTAGAGAGCCATGATCACGCCACTGCACTCCAATCTGGGTAACAGACTGTACCTTGTCTCCAAAAAAAAAAAAAAAGAAAAGAAAAGAAAAAAGAAAGATTCTCTTTGAACACTGTGTGCCTTTGAGAAAAGCTATGTGTTAGGCCGAGCATGGTGGCTCATGCCTGTAGTCCCAGCAACTTGGGAGGCTGAGGCAAGAGAATCACTTGAACCTGGGAAGTGGAGGTTACAGTGAGCCAAGATCACACCACTGTACTCCAGCGTGGGCAACAGAGCAAGAATCCGTCTCAGAAAAAAAAGAAAGAAAGGAAAGCTACGTATGAACAAACAAGCAATCACAAAAGGATTTCTTTTTTCATCACTGTCACTAAAACAAAAACTGTACCTCCTCTTGGTTCAGAACTTCTGCAAAGTTTTCGTCTTCTGATCCGGCTTGTTCTCCCTTTTCCTTTCTGCATGCTAAAACTGTAGTTTCTTCTTTCTGAAACACAATTCTATTTTTTCAAAAAGGATAAAACTGTAATTTCTGTGGAAATGCTCAATCTAAAATAAAAAACATTTCTTTTACTTTCCAGTTATATGATAATCACTGTTCTTTGTACCTTTAAGTATACAAATGTATATTTTGGTAAACTGTTTCTCTCAAGTGTTTTTGTAAATGAAAGGTTTATACTGTAAGCTAAATCATGATCCCTACAGTTACAGAATTCCCATTATTATCAGTCCCTCTAAAACAGTTTTATCTTGCAGACCTAGTGACTACAGCTTAATCTACTAAAAATACAAAAAATAGCTGGGCGTGGTGGCACACGCCTGTAATCCCAGCTACTTGGGAGGCTGAGGCAGGAGAATCGCCTGAACCCGGGAGGGGGAGGTTGCAGTGAGCTGAGATCGCGCTACTGCACTCCAGCCTGGGCGACAGAGCGAGGCTCCGTCTCAAAAAATAAATGCATAAATAAAAATAAAAATAAAAACAAAATAAGGGCCGGGCATGGTGGCTCATGCCTGTAAACCCAGCACTTTGGGAGCCCGAGACGGGCTGAGGTCAGGAGTTCGAGCCCAGCCTGGCAAACATGGTGAAACCCCGTCTCTACTAAAAATACAAAAATTAGCCGGGACTGGTGGCAGGCACCTGTAATACCAGCTACTCGGGAGGCTGAGGCAGGAGAATCGCTTGAACTCAGGAGGCGGAGGTTGCAGCCAGACGAGATCACGCCACTGCACTCCAGCCTGGGCGACAGAGCGAGACTCTGTCACAGAAAAAAATAAATAAAAATAAAATAAATCTACTTCTAAAATATACGGGGATAGAAATGAGTAAGAGACAAGAACTCCAGGCGGTATTAATACCGCACTTGAGCAGTATAAGGTTCATTATTTGACCTAACGAAAGTCGGCTAGTCCAGCTCCAGAGGCAAGCGCGGCTGCTTCGGTCCGGGTCCCAGCGCTCAGTCCAGAGACCGCGCCGGAAAGTGTTTCCAAGACTCCCGGGCCCTCGCGCGAGCTGTCCACCCGCACCCTGCTGAGGACCACGAGGACACCGGCGACCGCCACAGACACAGGCACCCCACAGTCCTGAAACTCTAGCCGTGAGGCCGCCCTACGGTCCCACACACACCGCTCCCGCCGCCACAGTACAGCCAGGCGGGCATCGGACCCCAGGCCTCAGGCTCCTTAGCGTTACGCAGGGCACCGGAGCAATACGCGCTAAGTGAACGACTCCACACGATGAGAGGTTACTACAGCGCACACGATAATGTCCGCCCTAGAGGAGACCTGCGACCTGAACTCAGTTCTTTTTACGCTGATGAATGAAAGACTAAGTAACTCACCAGCGAGACTTTGCTCCCGTTACCCGGGCAACTGGAGGCCCGACCCGGAAGTCCTACCAGCTCAGCTAGGCGCCAGCGGCCGTTTCCAAGATGGCGGCTGCAGTGGGCGGGCCCAAGGCACGTGGAAACGCCAAACGGCCCCAAGTGAACAAAAGTTAAAGGAACGGGCCAAAGCTGCAGAGAGAGAGGCTGAAGGTCGTCCCGCCCGCCTGGTGTCCTTAAGCAATCCAAGTCCTCAGTCTCCCGGGTCGGCCCCTTCCGCCGCAGGCGGCAGCTTCCGGCTCGCGCATGCGCAGTGTCCGCGGACTCGCCGCCAATGCCCAATAGTCTGGGACGAGGTCGGCACCCGTACACTCCCATAACCCCTACGTGGAGTGTGGGGTCAGAAAACCCAGTAACCTGGAATTTAGGCAAGAAATGTATAATTTAAAAGTAAGTAGGCCTCCCGAGTGCTTTATGAAATGTCGCTAGAACTCTTGGCTGTACAATTTGCCTGCTTTGCAGCTAGGGAAAATCTAGGACACATGGAGTTAAATGCTGGGCTAAGCCAGACCTTATCTGCATTTCTGTCTAGGTCCTAGGCTCTACACCTAGCACATCATTAAAATCCCACTTACCAGGGTTCTCAACAAAGGTAAAGATTGCTAAAAGTTAACAGTGCAACATGTATTTAAAACTATTAAAGAGACAGTTTATGTGCAAGGGGTGCATAAGGAAAATAAAATACACTTTTGGTAAAAAGTGTATTTTGGTAGGCATAAGAACGTGGATTTTTAACCTATGTTAAAAGTTTAAAGAATTGTTTTTGAAGGTTTAAGCAAGTTTCGAAAGGTTAATTGTAAAGGAAATTCTGTGTGTAAACATTTTGGCTAAAGATGGAAGGGGTGTCATCCAGCTTTTCTGTAAATTAGGCATTAAAATAAAAGCACAACGGGTTTCTCTTAAAGCATTAACCTGTTCTTTAACAAAAATTATAAAGGGTTAAAAAGAGTCTATGAAAATCTTACCTCGTCGTCAAACATTAAAATCGGGTAACTATGTCTACAAGGTTTTATTAAAATTGAGTTTAACATTAATAGCACACTAATATAAAGGTAAAATTTAGTTTATTTTGTATAAAATCATACAAGGAAGCATTGCTAAATATAAAATGGTATTTGGTTTTCTTTGATCTATATTTATATGATATGTTATTGATATGTTTTCCAGGGTTATAGGAGACTCTGATAATTCTGATATATCTTAGTGTACATTATCAGTAATAATTATAATTGTTATGTTAAACTTACTGTGTGCCACAGAGGTAACAGCTATCCTTGTCAATTGTGTCTTTACCTATGGCCACCCTAAAATTTTTCTCATCCATACAATTGTCTTATTTCGGCGCTCCTTAAAAGGTGGTTTTATGATCAGCTATAAAAGTCTAACAGGTGATCTTGAATGCAGGTTTCTGATAACTTTGGAAATTGTAACATCAGAATGGAAGAAAAACGTTCAGAACTCTTGAAAAGCTAAAATTTTCATTAATATCAAGCAGGACAGGAATTAACTGCATGAACTAAACTAATAGGAGACTGTAGTAATCTTGATGTTTCGCTTAAAATATTGCCAACGTTTTGTTTCGTTTTTCAAAGTTAAAGAAACTGTTCTTTGGAGATACTGACAGCTTTTAACAATTTAGTATGCGCCCATGAACAAAATTTGGAGCATACTTGTTTCTCTCTACCTGATTTTCTCCAGAATTTGGAAACTATCTGTGAGTATTCTTAAGTTATGGCAATATAGTTATTTGCATAAGTGCAATAAGTATCTGTTTTCTTTTGTAACAGGACACAATTGGAAAAACTGGTTATTTTACCAAGGCTTTGACTGGAATGGTGTGCTTTCCTTTGAGGAATCAAAATTTATGAAGCCAATAAAGCCCTTGGAAACTGGCCTCATATTCTGTGTACAAAGTTCTTGTACAGGGTTTCTGATCTGTGGCAAGTAAAGAATGTCGCTTTCTAACAGGCCAGGAACCCCAGGTTATCTTGGGACCTCAAGAAGAGACAAATTCAACAACTCATAGGTATTTGATGGTACAAATCTATGACTGGGCATGCCTTTAAAAAGGTCTCACCTCAGATTCTCTCTACAGAACAAAGTTCCATCAAAGCTAATTTAAAAGGCCTATGTAACAAATAATTATTCTTGCTGCACTGTATCCAGATAATTAAGCCACATATAATAAAGCAAACTAGGCCTACCATGATTTGTCTTTTAATAAAAATGGGAAACTGGAGAAAGAAAATTATGTTTCAAAAACTATAGCACACCTGTCATTAAATTCTAGTATGTTTTTCAATTTTTGTTATTTTCTTCATTTTAAATTAAATTCTAATTGTTCTGGCTACAAGATTCCAAAATAAGCTGTGCTTTCTTAAAGCCCTAGAAGCTGAAAACTAGATGTTTCAGCAGATGCTGCCTCTAAGCCCCCCAACCATGACAGGAGAAAATCTCTTCACTGCTGGTGCTGACAACTAATAACTAAGGGTTCCCGGAATCCTTCCCACCAAGTCTAGTGAGTCCATGGAACCCAGGGTAATTAAGAGGGTATCTGTTACAGGAATCAACTCCTAAATACATCACGGGCAAGTCAAAGCCTGGAAAGCTAAGGAAGCAACCTGAGAGCCCAAAAAAAAATCTTAAATATTAATGTAAATAAATAGGAAATCTTACACTGAAAATCATAAAAGATAAGTAACTAGGCTGGGTGCGGTGGCTCATGCCTGTAATCCCAGCACTATGGGAGGCCGAGGCAGGCAGATCACAAGGTCAGGAGTTCGAGACCAGCCTGGCCAATATGGTGAAATCCCGTCTCTACTAAAAATATAAAAATTAGCCAGATGTGGTGGTGTGTGCCTGTAGTCCCAGCTACTCGGGAGGCTGAGGCAGGAGAATCACTTAAACTCGGGAGGCGGAGGTTGCAGTGAGCCAAGACTGTACCATTGCACTGCAGTCTGGGTGACAAGAGCAAAGCTCCATCTCAAAAAAAAAAAAATGAAGATAAGTGATAAGTAACCGAGAACTACTCACCTTAGTCTCATCCCTACCTCACCAAATAGTTTTTGTCATTCCTATCTCTCCTTTTAAGTCAAATGTGAAAACTTTTTAATGGAAATTACTTACTATACCACCCTTGTGGAAATTGCTTTACTCTACTATTTGCAGTAGGACTATATACTGTAGCACTCTCAGGGTGGAATATCGGACAGAAAATCTCAATTACTGTAGCATTTTGATTGATTATTATTAAGGAAAGGGCTAAAAAGGAAGTACCAAAACAACCAAATAAATGCTTGGTTTGGGAACAAAATCATAGCATGGGTCATTCCATTCCTGGGCCCTCTTCTAATAATATGCCTGGGACTAATGTTCTTACCCTGCCTAATTAACCTTTTTCAAAGATTTTTAACTGACAGGATCATGGCCATTTCACAAACAACTACCCAAAAACATCTATAGACGGCATTGCTCCTACAGTCAACCCAAGACCAGAAAACTCTCTGTACCCTCATCAGCAGGAAGTAGCCAGAAAGAAAATGCTGTCCCTCCTCCTTTTTATAACTATAGGGTCTGGATTGACAGAGCAGGAGCATCGTCATCTTGGACAAGCCCCTCATGCTAAAGTTCACTTTAATAAAAAACTGCCTAAATCCGAAGGGCATCAGCCGAATGGCTAAGGTCAGCATGACCATAAATCACAAGTAACATCTCCAACCAGAAACATTCCAAACTCCTTCCTGACCAGAGACATGCTAGACCCTAGATAAAGCCCCCTCCAGGCCAGAAAAATGTCTGCCTCAAGATAACCTCCCCTCCTCCCCTTATGGCGGGATTCCAACCCCGCCATAAACTTATCCACACACATAAACATTCCAAGCTTGTGATAAGCCCCCTCATCCTAAAACCAATATATACTCTTAGTAAGAGAAAGGGCTCCGAACCAAAATGGGCCATCTAAAGTAAACCTGTTTCTAACTGCCAACGTATTTTTGCTTCTTTCCTCTTTCTCTAACTCTTACACAAAAGCCGTAACTACGGCTTTGATTAGACAAGAGACTGATTTCAACAACTTTCTCCCTATAAGAAGATCACGGACTATGGAATGGACTGGTTCTGGTTTACAGAGGCTGTGTACTTGTGTGCCTTGATGTCCTGAAAGACTTTTGACAGATAGGACCTAATCGTAATACACTTAAATGTCAAGTCACCATCCCAAACTGAATATACATGAGTCATATGTTACATGCATGTTTCTTCAATATGCATGTATCAGGTCCACCTTCATGAATATTCATAGCCCCTCATGTAACCTGTTGAATGTGTAAGTTTAGCCAACCTGTGCAGTCTAAAGCTCCTGCCTCAAAGCCTCCCCCTTCAAAGTGCCTGTCTCTGAGTTTCTGCTGGAGTCAGCTCCCCAGCCTCCAGGATGGCTACCTTGCAGGTTGTACCCCTTTAGAAGAAATAAAGTCTCCATCTCCTTTTCTAAATTTATACATTGTGAGTTGTTTTTGTTTTTCTTTCTAAAAAAAAAAAAAACACACACACAGTTCAAGACTACATGGCTAGGATGATCCTAACACCTAGTATGACTCTAGTCCCTTACTGAGAATGTTTAAGCTGCCAAAAAAAAATGTGGTGGTTGTAATAACCAACTTCTGACAATAGGTCCCTGACTGCCCTTTCTTAAAGCATTTACTGAAAACGGCTTACAGGTGTGAATTCTTCCTCTGACCCTTTGAGATGTATGTCCTACTCAGGAGTGTTTTTTGGCCAGGTGAGGTGGCTTACGCCTGTAATCCCAGAACTTTGGGAGGCCAAGGCGGGCAGATCACCTGAGGTCAGGAGTTCGAGACCAGCCTGGCCAACATGGTGAAACCCTTTCTCTACTAAATATACAAAAAGTTAGCCAGGTGTGGTAGCGCATGCTTGTAGTCCCAGCTACTTGAGAGGCTGAGGCACGAGAATCTCTTGAACCTGGGAGGGAGAGGTTGCAGTGAGCCAAGATTGCACCACTGCACTCCAGCCTGAGACAGAAATGAGAAACTCCGTCTCAAAAAAAAGAAAAGAAAAAGAAAAAGAATGTCTTTCTCAGACCTGAAAGCCATTCCTCTGAAATGTAATCATCAGAAATGATAGGGCCCCTGTCTTTCAGTCTTTGTAGTGGGAGAATAGAATCCCAACTTTGCTAATTGCCAGCTAACAGACACAGCTGGCCTAACCAACATTTCCACTGAGCAATCCTTGGTAATTTGTCATTTCCCTAATTCCTCCCCCTTCCTGATCCTTCATTCTCCCTTTAAAAGGCACAGTCACCTCCGTACAAATGAAAGTTCATTTACACTAGACCCTCTTTCTATTATAGTAGTTCATTATTGACTAAAATCTGTCCTTACCACCTTAGTGTCTGGCTTTGTCTTTCACAGAATTCAGCAAATTGCTTGAGTTACATAACTACTAAGCACCTAAGCCACAGATTGATTCCAGGTCTCAAAGTCCATGGTCTACCACTTTAGAAAGGCTTATTGAATATCCTAAACAAACATAAAATGAAAGAGGAACACAGTCAGTGTCAAGCAGAGCTCCATGAGAGTAAATAATCAAAGGAACAACCCAGAGAACCTCACAATTCGTAATTTAAGAATATTATTTTCCAACATCTTTTAATATATACCATGGAACTGTGTTTTAGGGTATTTTGTTTTTGTTTTTAGATTCAGGGGGTACATGTGCAGGTTTGTTACATCAGTATATTGCCTGATGCTGAGGTTTGGGCATCTAATGATCCCAAGTAGAAAACATAGTACCCAATAAGTCGTTTTTCAATCCTTACCCACTCTCCCCCTTTTGGAATCCCCAGTGTTATTGTTCCCTTCTTTGTGTCCCTGTGTACTCAAATGTTTAGCTCCCACTTATAAGTGAAAACATGCATTATTTGGTTTTCTGTTTCTGCGTTAATTCACCTAGCACAATAGCCTCCAGCTGCATCCATGTTGCTGCAAAGGAAATGATTCCATTCTTTTTTGTGACTGTGGGAACTGTGTTCTTTAATTGCTTTAAACTAGTGGGTAGTAGTGCTCGTTTGGGCAGCATATATACTAAAACTGGAATGATACAAGATTAGCATGGTGCCTGTAGAAGGATGGCATGCAAATTCATGAAGTGTTCTATTAAAAAACAAAAAAAAGGTGGGTAGTAAAGATATGAATTCATTCCACAGGTTAATTGGTATTATAAAATTCTTGATCTATATAGCAGCCAATATAGTCTCAGACTTTTGATTCTCACAACTAAGGCATGTCTTCCAACTTAGCCAATAGCAGAGCAGTAATAGCAGAGATCTGGAAACTCCATCTTTAAATTTCTGTTTTATTTCTTAAATTGTTCAGAATCCAGACAAGGTGTTGCATATTGGAGGCTCCTCACATATAGCACCAGAATCAAGACCCAGATATAACAGAGAAAACAATACAAAATCATCCAAGTAGAGCTTAATTCACAGGCTTTAAATTGTGCTTTTCAAAAACAAATTTTCAAAAAGTTTCCCATAGTCAAACCCATCAGACATTTATGATTCTTCCCTTATTTTTATGCTTATAAAATAAAGCATTTTCCCCTATTGAAAATAAAAGTTACTTTTGTTTTCTTTTAGTTGTTTTATGGATTCATTTATAAATCACTGTTTCTCTTTCTGTCTCCAGAAATTATTTAGTGTATGTTGTAAGGGATCTTTTTTCTTTCCAATCACTATGCCCTTTCCCCAGTGCCAATTTTGGAATAATTATTTCCCTTACTAGTTGTTAAGGCCACCTTTATCATACAGTAAATTCTTGTTAATACATATTTTATATATTTTCCGGAGCATCCTGCCCAATGTACCTGTCAATTCTTATGTTGGTACCTGTCCTAAAAAAATAAACAAATCAGACTCAAACTCATGATTCATGCCCTCATAGGATTTGCCTTTTGAAACAGCAGGACCCTCACCCTGTCCAAAGTTCCCTGTACACCATGTTCTATTGTGACTGGCCCTCTTAATAAATTTAATCCATCCCACTCTTAACACTGACTCACACCCGCTACAGAAGACAGTAGCTGATGAAGTGGAGAGAACCCAGCCAATGACAGACCCAACCCCACACCCTGGGATAGGAAAGAAAATCCAAAACAGAGCTCTGAATTATCCTGAGTGGAAAAAAACAAAACAAAACAAAAGACTACAAACTGTATGACTCCATCTATGTAACATTTTTGAAACAACAAACTTGTAGAAATGGTGAACAGATTAGTGGGTGCCATGAAATAGAGTCGGTTTGGGGAGTAATAGGTATGTTTGGTGATAAAAGTGCAACAGGAGGGCTCTTTGTGCTAATGGAAACATACTCATTTAACTGTAGTGGTGGATACACAAACCAACATTTGATAAAATTATATAGGACTAAATACATATACAAAGTACACATCAAACTGGGGAAATCTGAGTATGATTGGTGGACTATTTTGTTGTCAATATCTTCATTGTGATGCTGTACTATACTTCTGCAATATGTTACTATTGAGTGAAACTGAGTAAAGGGTAAGGAATCTCTGTATTATTTCTTACAACTGCGTATGAATCTATAATTAGCTCAACAAAAATTTCAGTTGAAAAAAACAAGGGTCTTTCCTTGATTACTAACTTGTTTTAAAGCAACTGATTGGAATCCTACCTTGAAATTGCAATGTAATTGCAATCTATTTAAAGCAGTGCTGTTCAACAGACCTTTCTGCAAGGATGGAAATATCCTAAATCTATACTGCCCAATACAGTAACCACTAACACATGCAAATATTGAGCACCGGAGATGTGGCTAGTGCAACTAAAAAACTGAATTACAAATATCGCTTAATTTGAATTTATGTTTAAAAGGCCACCTGTGATAGTGGCAACCTATGGGACAGCACAGAAATGAAACTTGACCTTATTCCCGATTCCCTTGTAAGTAGGAAGGAAGAACACTCATTTTGAAACCATGCAATTGTCCCATAGGACGGATGTTTATGGTCTTTTTTTTTTTTTTTTTTTTTTTTGAGACGGAGTCTTGCTCTGTTGCCCAGGCTGGAGTGCAGTGGCGTGATCTCGGCTCACTGCAACCTCTTCCTCTGGGGTTCAAGCAAGCAAGTCTCTGCTTCAGCCTCCCAAGTAGCTGGGATTACAGGCGCCTGCCACCACACCCAACTAATTTTTGTATTTTTTTTTTTAGTAGAGATGGGGTTTCACCATGTTGGCCAGGCTGGTCTTGAGTTCCTGACCTCATGATCCACCTGCCTCAGCCTCCCAAAGTGCTGGGATTACAGGTGTGAGCCACCGCGTCTGGCCTGGTCTCCTTTAAATAAACAAATTGACTCTCCCAGTCTAAAAACTTGAGAAATTTACATTTGTCTTATCTGAGTTCCTTTCTCAGGAAACTAGCCATCAGACCTCCCAGGTAGCACCTAGGAACTGAAACTTATCAGATCACCACATCTGGACAATCAGATGCCAGACCCCTCACCTCTAACAATTTCCTAACTGATGCCTGTTGATCCACTCCTCCTCATCTCTCCCCAAATCCTGCTGTTTTTGCACATGCAGTTACATTTCTTCCCTGCTATATACTAATTTTAATCAGTTGAGAAGATAGATTTGAGACTGATCTCCCCCCATAGGCTGTAGCACCCAAATAATGCCTTCTTCCCTGACAATAATGGGGTCTCAGTGATAGGCTTTCTGTGCTGTGAACCACCGGACCTAGACTGAACCCCTGGCATTTCTCTATTTCCCACCACTGAACTAAGTTATACACTCTCAGGATAGATCTCTGTTTCTTCATTTTAAGATGGGGATTAAAAGGTACATCCTGGAGTGTTATTTTCAGTGTAAAATATGGCTATGAAACCTCCTACACCTATGCACAGGTAAACTGATGGCCCTGCAAATGCCCAGAGAAGTCACCTTGTAAAGATTTAATGAATGTTTCCCACCATTATTGGAAAATCTGGCTAAGTCAGTAGCTTTGTTTTCATATACTTAGGGGGGAAATCAACAAAAACTTGATACCCTGTCATTTCCTTCCAGTTTCTTCTGCAACTCTAGCTCCAAAGACTGCAGTTCCTTCAGTATATATATATATATATATATATATATATATATTTTTTTTTTTTTTAACAGGAAAAAAAACATGCAAATGTACTATTTCTTCAAACACAACTAGGAATGATTGAACAGCTGGGGGAATAGGAAGAAAACCCCTCAGAGAACCAAGGACAAGCAGTGGCACATGGCCACTACGAATGGTTCTTCACTGCTATGTGGGCAGCCGGCAGCCAGCAGCTAGAGTCCGTCCTCGCTCTTCAGCCAGCAGTTCTGCAAAGTCAGGCCAGCTGGCTCTCCGCCCGCGGGCTCGCTCTTCAGCCAGCAGGTTCTGCAAAGTCAGGCCTGCTGGCTCTCCGCCCGCTCGGCACCCAGGCGAAGTTCGGGTGGGGAGGGGTAGGGGTGGTTCCGCTCCGCCCCGCCCCGCGCCCGCCCCTCCCCGCTAGGGGCGGGGCCTGGGCCTGGGCCTGCGCCTGCGCGCTCAGCGGCCGGGCGTGTAACCTACGGGTGGGCGCCCCACGCCCGCCGGATTCGCGCAGTCTCTGGGATACACGCCGCGCATCTCCAGGGCCTGAGCCAGGTCTGTTCTTCACGCAGGTGTCCCGCGCGTCCCATTCAGCCATGAAGTCCGGCATCCGTGTAGCGCTGGTGACTGGAGGCAACAAGGGCATCGGCTTGGCCATCGTGCGCGACTTGTGCCGGCTGTTCTCGGGGGAAGTGGTGCTCACGGCGCGGGATGTAGCGCGGGGCCAGGCAGCCGTGCAGCAGCTGCAGGCGGAGGGTCTGAGCCCACGTTTCCACCAGCTGGACATCGACGACCCGCAGAGCATCCGCACCCTGCGCGACTTCCTGCTCAAGGAGTACGGGGGCCTGGACGTGCTGGTCAACAACGCGGGCATCGCCTTCAAGGGTACTGGGAGGGGACGTGGCCTCCCCGACGTGGGCTGCTCCTGTCGAAGAAGCGCTGCACTGGGGCTCCTACCGGCTGCGGGGTCCAGAAGGACTCCCTAGGGAGGAGAGGGAGGAGCTGGGAGATGTAGGGAGTGCAGAAACCTTAGAGAAAGGGAGTTTTCCAGCCAAAGGGAACTTTGTGTTTCCCTGCCTCGGACTTTTGGGGATCTCTTTCAGATTTTCTGCAGTTTTTCTGAATTGAGCTTTAAGGCCATTGAATGAATTTTGAACTGATTTTAAAATAAACGATAAATTGCAAAAAGAAAAAATGGTTATGCCAAGATCCAGTGTGTGCGCCCTTCATCCTCTTTCCCCCAATGGTACCATCTTACAAAAACACTAGAACGTTATCAAACCAATAGATTGGCACAATACTGTAACCAGACACAGACTTTAGACAGAAGGCACTAATTTTTTATTTTTAGTATCATTCTATAGAATTTTACCTTGTGGGTACAATGTGTTAACTATGTTCTCTTTTTCTCCTAAAAGTTGCTGATCCCACACCCTTTCATATTCAAGCGGAAGTGACGATGAAAACAAACTTCTTTGGTACCCGAGATGTGTGCACAGAATTACTCCCTCTAATAAAACCCCAAGGTGAGTCTGATGGGAAACAGCGCACCTTCTCTTTGGGGCTTGACTCTGGCCCCTGCTTGTCTGGGATTTCTCCTACAGGCTCCTGCTTCCTCTCCATGCTGCATGTGCACTGACCTCTGTGCTTTGTCTCCTGCCAGCTGATAGGTGCCATTCTGCCTCAGGACTTTGTCCTCACTTCTCCCACTCCCATGGCCATTCGTCCTCCCCATCCCACTGGTCTTTGCACACCTGGCTAACTCTCTTAGCCTTCAGGTCTTAGCTCAAACGTCTCCTGAGAGATGCTCTTTCTTTGCTCCATGCCTCTCCGCGTGGGAGTCCATCCTGTACCCTTTCTCTGCTCTTTCAGAGAGATGTTATTCAGGCTGGTGGAACCTTTACTACCACCAGTTCATTAGGCCCTTCTAATACCTGTCACCTGTCTGGAACACTCCTTAAGCTCCCGACCACATAGTTGTCTTGCTGCCTTTCCGTCTCTTTCTGATGCCTTTCCCCACAATCTAAGATGTTTCCAGAGGATCCCTGTCCTTTTCCCTAAGTTATCTGGGACACAGACCCCACCACCTACCCACCAGGATCGTGCAGGTCACCATGCCCCGCCCCTCATAATCACTTACTAGGTCCTAGGAGTTGTGCCCACTGAGTTCCTCCTGAATCCATCTCTCCGGCTTTACAGCAGGCCCTCACCTGTCCCTCTGGACAACTGCAAACCCTCACAGGGCACCTCTGGTCTTGAGTCTTTTCCTTTCCCAGCATCCTGCATGCTGTCTGCATGGTCATGCCGCTCCCAAAAATCCTTCAGGAGGAAAGTCCAAGCCCTTAGCATGGCACACAGAGATGTCCATAATCTGCCGCTGCTTAACTCCGGGCCCATTTTAACTCCCCTTCAACGTGCTCAAGGTGCTGGATACGACTATCACATTTCTTTGGTTGTAAACTGCTGTAATGGTTACCCTAAGTAATGGGACAGGAGATGAACCCACCCATTAAATAAAGCAGCAATTAAGCAGCTACTTTTAGAAAAATTTAAATGTGTGGCTTCGAGTTGGGTACTTGCATGTACAGCTTACTCTCAGCTTTTATCCTGTTTCCCTGTCCTGTCATCCTATTAAGTTGTGCTACTTCTAAGGCTCTGGTTCACCAGGACCTCAAAGGGCAGCTCTTCCAGATCTCACCTGACTCTACTCAGCCAAAATTTGAAGGCAGGAATGAAGTTCTTTATGCAACTACCCCCACACTTGCTATGCGCATTCCTCTTAGAACTCATACCAGCAACTGTCTCTCATATGAAAATTTTCTGCTTCAAAATCCCTGCAAATTTGGCATTCACCTTTCTACAGGATTGTTGCACACCTTTCTACATAATGCTTTGTGGTGTATCTTAGGGAGAGTGGTGAACATATCTAGCATGATGAGTCTCAGAGCCCTTAAAAGCTGCAGCCCAGAGCTGCAGCAGAAGTTCCGCAGTGAGACCATCACCGAGGAGGAGCTGGTGGGGCTCATGAACAAGTTTGTGGAGGATACCAAGAAGGGAGTGCACCAGAAGGAGGGCTGGCCCAGCAGCGCATACGGAGTGACAAAGATTGGCGTCACCGTTCTCTCCAGGATCCACGCCAGGAAACTGAGTGAGCAGAGGAAAGGGGACAAGATCCTCCTGAATGCCTGCTGCCCAGGGTGGGTGAGAACCGACATGGCGGGACCCAGTGCCACCAAGAGCCCAGAAGAAGGAGCAGAGACCCCTGTGTACTTGGCCCTTTTGCCCCTGGATGCTGAGGGTCCCCATGGACAATTTGTTATGGAGAAGAGAGTTGAACAGTGGTGAGCTGGGCTCACAGCTCCATCCATGGGCCCCATTTTGTACCCTGTCCTGAGTTGGTCTAAAGGGCACTTACAAAGTCATAAATATCCTTATATAAGAAAAAAAAAGATCTCTTATCAATTAGTACTCACTAATACACTACTAATTGAGCAGCCCACACACTCAGTTGACTACCTAAATCTGTCAGGTCTTTTGTGGTTTCCTCTGATGCAGGGAGAGGAAAAATTGTAATTGATGAAAATAATGAATGAAAATCAACAGATGAATAAATGGTTCTTTATAAGTGTCCATTTGTATGGATTGTTTAGATGCTAAATAATCTTTGTCTCAAGTACAATCAACCTAAAAGGTCGAGGGAAGGGACAGTACAACTCGGTGAGCGAACTCAGAGAGTAAATAAAGAGCCAGTTAGTCAATAGTTTCAATGTCGTAGGTCAAACAATGCATTGGAACTCCCCATATCCACATTATGTAACACAAGCTGACAGCATGTAAGCCTGTGAACATAGCTGGCTCTGGCCCTTCCCAGCCTCTAGGAAAACATGGACAGTACCACAAAGGCAAAGGCAGCTGACTTGGTTTCTTTAAAAAGCCAGAGTCATTGGGGAAAAACAGCTAGTTGCAATGTGTGAAACGTGAGTGTGCACTTGCATGAAATACCGAGCTGATGAGGGACCTATCAGATCTCCATAGGAATGTTATTTATGTAGAGATGAAGTGTCATGAGGTGTACAACATAAATGTGTTTCAGCACAGCATCTACAGACGACCAGATAAGGCAAATGTGACAAAATGTGCACGTTGTTGAACTTTGGTGTCTGGGTATCTGTTATTCTATTCTTGCAACTTTTCTGTTTGTTGAAAGCTTTCAAAACCTGGGGGTTGGGAATGGAAACTCCTAGCTCTGCCCTCTGATTTCCTGACCTCAGGCAGAATACTGTATCGTGCTTTGTCTCTGTTTCCTCAACTATCAAATTGGGATGACAGTTATAGGATTATATGTATTGAGATCAAGTGTTGAGAACAAATTAGATGGGTGTGATGGTGGGTGCTTGTAATCCCAGCTACTCGGGAGGCGGAGGCAGGAGAATCACTTGAACCCAGGGGGCGGAGGTTGCAGTGAGCCGAGATAGCACCACTGCACTCCAGCCTGGGTGACAGAGCGAGACTTCACCTCAAAAAAAAAAATAGTGTTGAGAACAGCCCCTGCTGTCATTAGTTCCTGTAAATGGGCCTGACACCATCCCTGCTGGTAATGAGAAGTGTGTGTTTACTGTCTAACACCCAGTAAGTGCCCACGCCATTCTCTTTCTTCCACAGAATCACATTGTCGCGATCTCTCACACTTCACCAGTGAGAATTAAGGCTTAGAGAAACAAAAAGCGATCACCCGTCTTCTTTTTTTTAATTCTCCAAACTGCTTCAGAAGAGTACCTTATTTTATTTATTTATTTATTTTATTTATTTATTTTTGGAGACAGTCTCAATCTCAGCTCAGTGCAACTTCTGCCTCCCAGGTTCAAGTGATTCTCCTGCCTCAGCCTCCTGACTAGCTGGGATTACAGGTGCCCGCCACCACCCCTGGCTAACTTTTGTATTTTTAGTAGAGACAGGGTTTCGCCATATTGGCCAAGCTGGTCTCGAACTCCTGGCCTCAAGTGATCTGCCTGACTCAGCCTCCCAAAGTATTGGGATTACTGACATGAGCCACCGGCCCCGGCCTAGTCCCTTATGTTAAAAGTGAGGTTTACTTTAACAAGTTTCACCTTTCAGTAGGGCCGTTCATTTCTTCCTAGTTTTTGTAAACAGACACCAGAAAACAACCACATCTACTACAGCAAGACTGGTATTCTCAAGTGCTACTTTAGAAACGTATACCTGTATTGCCAAGATATTTTTCCCTTAATACCTTACAAATAACACCTAGCTTCTTTAAGAGATTTAGAGAAAGCATTGTTCCAAATTCAAGTACCTGCTTACCTCTAGGGGGGAGGGGAGGAGGACACACACATGGTTCCGTCTTTATTGCTAAGGATTTCTTATGCCAGGTGATAGGTATATGGTGCTAAAATAACATTTTCAGAAAGGTAAAATCATGACATACAGATATAAAAGTAGTATTCAAAAAATGTATTTTACTCCTGCGGGAACCAGGGAAATGTTATAACTGGTTCAAAGGAAAAGCTAAAAGGGCACAGATTATATGGAATCAACAAATGTTGAGCTGAATTGCAAATGACGACAACATTGGTGTTTTCACAGGGAGGAGGAGGTCAATTCAATCACCACTAGACAGGACAGCACTTGCACCTCTGTTACGTACAATTTAGAAAGAGATGCAAGAATGAACAGGGCCATAGCTCGATGCTACGAGTCTTGCCTTGCAAACACCCTTCACTCTTGTGTAAGTCTGGCAAAACACCCATCCCCAAGATTAATAACCATGCCAGCCTGCTCTAGCAGCTCTTAACACATGATGACGCTGGGGAGAAAGGAAACAAGAGGCTGACTGTGCTCTTTTATGTTCCCACCCCAATCCCAAACGGACAGCAATTCTCCTAGCCAATGCTGTCTTTTCCCCTAATAAATTCACTCTCCTACGCTGTAAAATGATTATTCTTTCCGCATATCTCCCAGACTAATCATGCGAGAGGATGTCCTCAAATTGTTCCCTAAAAAAGAAATAGGTGCCCCTGAGAGTCGTTCAACATACCTCTAACCAGACAGCACACCATGCCCTGCTTTCCATTACAAGAAGAGGCACACTGCTTCTCAGGCAGCGCTCCCACCTGAGTCCTGGTTCGTCCACTATCGCCCTCCCAAACATTTTGTTCTTGTAATTATTCCCCTTCTTTCCTTCACCAAATTCACCCCTCTGAGGTTACCATTGCATAAAAACATGCTTTAATATCTGTCCCAGCTTTTAAAACTAAGGAGTTGAGTCACACAAAGTAGGTTCTCTGACCACACTGGAATTACATTAGAAATCAATAGCAAGGTAGCCAGAAAAATCCCCAAATAGTTGGAAACCAAAAAAATACACTTTCAAACACCCTTAGTCAAAAAGATATCAAAAGTTAAGGAAAAAACAAAAAATTAAAAAATTTTTAAAAAGATACTGAAAGTTAAATTCAAAAGTATTTTGAACTGAATGAAACTGAAAACACAACATATCAATGTTTGTGGGGTGGCACTAAAGCAGTACTTAGAGGGAAATTTATACTACTTAACACCTACACTAGAAAAGAAGAACTATCTCGGCCGGGCGTAGTAGCTCATACCTGTAATCCCAGCACTTTGGGAGGCCGAGGCGGACAGATCACCTGAGATCGAGAGTTCGAGACCAGCCTGACCAGTATAGAGAAACCCTGTCTGTACTCAAAATACAAAATTAGCCGGGCGTGGTGGCATATGCCTGTAATCCCAGCTACTAGGGAGGCTGAGGCAGGAGAATCACTTGAACCCGGGAGGCGGAAGTTGCTGTGAGCCAAGATCACGCCATTGCACTCCAGCCTGGCCAACAAGAGCCAAACTACGTCTCAAAAAAAAAAAAGAACTATCTCAAACAATGACCTCTAGTTTCTAGTAAGAAACTAGAATAAGAGCAAATGAAACCCCAAATGAGCAGATGAAAGTAAATAAAGATCAGAACAAAAATCAATATAATCAGAAGAAAGCAATGAAGGTAAAAAAAAATCAATGAAGCCAAAAGCCAGTTCCTTGAGGAAAAAAAAAAAAAAAAAAAAAGTGCTAAACCTCTAGCCAGACAGATCAGAAAAAGAAAAAAAAAAAATGAAAGACACAGATTACCAATGTCAGGAATGAGAAATAGCATCATTATGATTAATAAAAAGATAATAAGGGGTTCGGCAGTGACTCACCCCTAAAATCCCAGCACTTTGGGAAGCCAAGGCGGGTGGATCACCTGAACTCAGGAGTTCAAAGTCCAGCCTGGCCAACAGGGTGAAACCCCGTCTCTACTAAAAATACAAAAACTAGCCAGGCATGGTGGCGGACACCTGTAATCCCAGCTACTCTGGAGGCTGAGGCAGGAGAATTGCTTGAACCCGGAAGGCAGAGGTTGCAGTGAGCTGAGATCATGCCACTGCACTGCAGCCTGGTCAACAGAGTAAGACTCTGTCTAAAAAACAAAACAAACAAACAAACAAACAAGAGCATATTACTAACAACCTCATATCATTGGAGGTAACTTACATAAAATGTACACATTTATTAATATTTAGAAAAACACTCAACTCACTGAAGAAGCAATGGAAAACCTGAATAGCTCCATGTCTGTAAAGTGAAATATCAAATACTCTTTGGAAAGAAAGAAATATTGGTTGGGGCATAAAGGAAACCACACCCAGCAGGTGCCCAGCTATTGACTTTGATAGAGAAAGTGGACTCAGGGTGGCAGGGCACAGGCAGTTCAGCCAGATCTGCTTGAGTAAAGCAGAATCATGATGAGATGGTAGCTCTCTGCTAATCTCGGAGTCACTAATCAAACACACTCAGATCAAACACGTGGGTTACAGTGAAGAAGATGAATGAAGGAGTCCAACTGACCGTCCATACATTGACACACCTTTGGCAATTCCTTCGTTTTATGGGTCCACGTCTCATGGGGAGATGCCATATATTTTACATATTAACTGTGACTTTGGATAAAACAAAAATGTAGATACTTTTAGCAAACAGGGGTTATATAACAATTAGAGAAAACATTCTAATAAATGGCTTATGGCATAGTAGGAGTTTCATAAACATTCTCTCCCATTTGAGAATACTAGGAACCACACAGAGATTGCCTGCCCATGCCTGGAAGTCTAATTACAGGACATCTTTTTTCTCTAATTCTTAAGTTTCAGTTTCTCTTAAGCAAGAAAGGGGATCTAACTGCTAACTAAAGCAGTTAGTGTGTAAATAATTTCATTGCATCTTAAGATAAAGCAAACATCTGCATTTCGCAGTGAGTGATGGGTGCACAACCAAGAAAATTACTTGGCACGTGTTTTCCTCCCTTTGGGATTCTCCCAAAATAGTTTTAATTCAACTGTCACCTGTCTCAGGCCCCCTACTGACCCATCACCATCAAGTTTTGCTTTCAGGGAGGCAGACCTCTTAGCCCTGCGAAGCATTGCTTGGCTCAGCCAGGATCAAAAGAGGGATGTGTCTTGGCATGACACAATCCACAGCTCATGGAGAGGGTAGATCCGGGAGTCGGGGCATTAGAAAACTTTCTGGAACATTCAGCCCCTCCGGCGTTGCAGCTCTGGAACGCAGAA